ACTCGTGCTCTCTTTCTCTCTCAAAAATAAATGGACATTAAAAAAAAGAGAGGGGGCGCCTGGGTGGCTCGGTTGGTTAAGCGTCCGACTTCTGCTCAGGTCATGATCTCACGGTCCGTGAGTTTGAGCCCCGCGTCGGGCTCTGTGCTGACAGCTCAGAGCCTGGAGCCTGTTTCAGATTCTGTGTCTCCCTCTCTCTCTGCCCCTCCCCTGTTCATGCCCTGTCTCAAAAATAAATAAATGTTAAAAGAAAATTTTTTTAATTAAAAATAAAAAAGAGAGAGAAAGCCTCATCAAATATATTGGTAAACATGGATACCTGTAAACAAATACTCGCGTTGGGAGATGACTTGTGAGTGTACTGGCTTCATGGCAAAGAGGATTTTGCACACGTGATTAAGCAGAAGATCTTGAGATGGGGAGATCCCCTTGGGTTATCGGGAGGCACCCAGCGTAATCAGAAGGGTCCTCACAGGGGGAAGAGGAAGATGACACGAAAACACCAGTTGGAATGACACGGCCAAAAGCCAAGGTACGCGGGCAGCCCGTGGAAGCTGAGAAAGGAAAGGAAATGGATGTTTCCCTTGAGCCCGCCTGCTCCAGGCGCGGCAGCAGCCCTGCCCACATCTTGATTTTCGCCCGGGAGACTCCCGAGTATTTCCACCCCCCTGGACTGCTCACATAAGACATTCTGCGTTAAGCCAGGAAGTTTGTGGCGACTTGTTACAGCAGCAACAGGGAACGAATACAGACCTAGAATGGAAGGAAAACGCTAGGATGGTGGGAAAGCAAGACATTTTGTGCCCTAATAACAAGGGATCGGCCCTGAATTTCCTACGTCCAGATTTCTATTGGCAGAGAGGAAAATTTCTATCTCATGTAAACCATTTTTTTTTCTGGTCACTTTCATTCATAAGCTTCACACTTGATACAGTGACAGAGGTCACTTCATTTTAATCCCGATTTTCATGGGAATCCCTCTAGTATTCCATCATAAAACGTGATCTAAGCATAGAAGTTGGGATACTTATTCTTTATCGCGTTAAGGCAATCTCCTTGTATTTTTAACTTTCAGAGTTTCTAAAATGAAGACCTAAATTTCATCGAATGCGCTTCAAGTATCTACTGAGATAACTGTGCTGGGGTACCAGGCGGCTCAGTCGGTTAGGTATCCGACTTTGGCTCAGGTCCTGATCTCACAGTTCATGAGTTCGAACCCTGTGCTGACTCTCCACTCTGCACAGAGCCCACTTCAGATCCTCTGCCTCCCTCTCTCTCTGCCCCTCCCCTGCTTGTGCTCTCTCCCTCTCTCTCTCTCAAAAATAAACAAACATTAAAAAAAAAACTTTTGAGAAAAGCAAAGTGTGCTTTTTCTTGCATGATTGTAGATTTCCATCGTTGGGATAAATCCCACTTGGTTATGTCGTATTAGCCTCTTAATATACAATTGAATCCTAACTACTGAGAAATGTAGATGTTTATTGCAGACATCAATGTACTCGGCTAAAACTCAGGCCTCTATTATTATGGGAAGAGGGGCAAATGAATATAATTTTGTCTGTATTCATGACCTGTCTATAGTTTTTGCTCTGTCTGCATCAGATGTTATCTAGGGTTTTTGTTGGCTTTGTAAAATAAATTAGGTAGCTGTCTGTCTTTTTCTATGTCCCCCCAAAGTGTGTATGTTCCCTGGAATTATTTGTCCTTTGGCAGTTTGAAAGAATTCATCCATTAAAACATCTGAGATGAAGACGTTTTTGTTATAACTTTGCCCGTTTCTTTCTTTGCATTGGTTCACAGGTTTTCGATTTCTGAAGTAGAAAGAGTTGGGCTTGGAGCCCTAAATTAGGGCTTTATCATTTACTAGCTGTGTCTGGTCATTCACTCATTCGTTCACTCCATAGCTGCCCATGAACACCAACTAATGCCAAGTACTTCCCTGAGCACTGGAGATAAAATGGTGGACAAGACAGACAGGGTCCCTGCCTTCAAAGCCCTCACGTTCTCCAGGAGGAGAGAGACCACGAACAGGCAAAACAAAAACAAAACAAAACAAA